TCTCCCTCCTGGTGATTTCCAGTCTTTTGTTGTATTGTCAATACAATACTCCAGTATACTTCGTATTATATTATTATTATTATTATTATTATTATTAGTCCCTTGGGTTCCTAGTGGAACATAGGGCTTCAGTAGCACGCCTCCAGTGACCTCTGTTCTCTGAGATCTTTTGAACCTGGTCCCACGACAGCCCACAACCTCTCATTTCTTCCTCGCACGATCTCCTCCATGTAACCCTCGGACGTCCAACTCGTCGCTTCCCATGGGGATCCCACTCGAGGGCCTGACTAGTGATGTCCTCAGTCGGCCTTCTCAGTGCATGGCCAATCCATCTCCACTTCCTCCTGCATATTTGTTGCGTGATAGGTTCTTGGTGGTTCGTTCCCAGAGCTCCTTGTTGCTTATTCTTTCTGGCCATCTGATCTCCAGTAGCGAGCGTAGGTGGCACTTGTTGATGAATGTCTGTAGTTTATTGGAAATGCCTTTCGTGACGCGCCAAGTCTCTGAACCATACAAGAGCACTGACTTGACGTTGGTGTTGAAAATCCGTATCTTGTTCCGCATGCTGAGTGCAGAAGATCTCCACACTGGTTTCAGGCTAATGAACGCCTGTCTTGCTTTTCCGATTCTGACTTTGACGTCCTCGTCCGTCCCACCTGTAGTTGAAACAGTGCTTCCTAGATAAGTGAAGGAGGTTACTTCCTTTAAGTTTCTCCCGTTGACGGTGATTGGAGTTTGTTGTTGTTGTTGATGGTGGTGGTGCGGTATCTTCATCACCTCTGTCTTCTCTATATTCACCTGAAGTCCCGTCTTCGCTGCCTCTTCTATCAACTTGTTAGTTTTTGCCTGTAGATCTTCAAGTTTATGTGACATCAGACACAAGTCATCGGCGAAATCCAAGTCTTCTAGGTTCTTTTCCGCAGTCCAGCCAGCCTATCCCCCTCTTCTCGCTGCCTACTGTTTGCTGCATGATCCACTCCACCACAATAAGGAATATCATGGGGGATAGTAGGCAACCTTGTTTCACTCCGTCTTCATTTCACTTCAAAAGCATCACTGAGCTTCCCATTGTGAATTACTTGGCTGCATGTGGCGTCTTCATATAGTTGTTGAATGAGGATTATAAAGGTTTGCGGTACTCCGTAGTATTGAAGCAGTTTCCAAATTACTTCTCGGTCGACGCTGTCAAAGGCCTTCTCAAAGTCGATGAAGTTGAGGCAGAGAGCTGATTGCCATTCTATGCTCTGTTCTATGATGATGCGAAGCGTTGCAATTTGGTCTACACATGATTTGTACTTCCTGAAGCCTGCCTGTTCCGGTCGCAGTTTTGAATCCAGTGCGTCTTTAAGCCTCTCCAGGATGATGCGGCTTAATATTTTATTGGGGTGGACAGGAGAGTGATTCCGCGCCAGTTCTTGCAATCACTGACGTCTCCCTTCTTTGATAGTTTGACAAGGTAACCCTTCTTCCAATCAATAGGCAGATACCTTCTCTTCCTTCCACACCTTCTGCAATAGTGGTGTGAGTATGTCCGCTGTTGTCTCTGCATCTGTTCTCAGTGCTTCTGGCGGTATCCCATCTGGTCCTGCTGCTTTCCCACATTTCAGTAGCTTTATGGCGTTCAGGACTTCCATTTTTGTTGGAGGATTTAGATTCACTTGTAATTCAGCGGCTGCAGGTGGTATTTCTGGACGAAGTACAGGTGGTGGTCGATTCAAGAGCTTCTTGAAGTGGTCGGCCCATTGTTTCCCCTGTTTCTCTTCTTTTGTAATTAAATTTCCTTCTCCATCTTTTATTGGTTTCATCTGTGTTGGTCTCTTCCCTGATAGCAACCTGGTTATTTGATACAATGTCGTCAGGTCTCTGTTACCTGCAGCCTGTTCCGCTTCACTTGCTAGGGTTTGGTATAAGTGTCTTTTGTCTTTGCGTGCACTCTTCTTCACTTCTTTGTCTAGTGTTTTATACATTGTGCTCAGTTCCTCTTGTCGTTGAGCATCCTTGCACTCGTTTATCTTCTGTTTCACCATCCTCCTCTCCTCTATCAGCTTCCAGGTATCCGTCGAGATCCATTCCTTGTCTTCTCTCTTCTTCCTTCCTAATACTGTTGTGCAGGTTTCTTTCCACATCTCTTCCAAAGACTTCCAGTGTTCTTCCACACAGGTTTCTTCAGGGATGTTCCTCGATATCTCCCATTTTGCCTTGATGACTGCCGTGAAGATCTCCTTTGTAGTTTCATCCTTCAGTTTCCGAGTGTTGTACTTGAATTGAGGTCTATCATCAGCTTCCTTGTAGGCTTTTAACTTGATTTGGAAGGTTGCTTGCACTAGATAGTGGTGTGAACCTACATCTGCTCCTCTCCTTGACCTTGTTTCAAGTAGACTGCGTCTCCATTTTCTTGAGATTGAGATAAAGTCGATTTGATTTTTAGTGTGTCCTTCTGGTGAAATCCATGTTGCTCGCTTTGTGGATATCCTTGTGCTTGAACACACTGCCTCCAATCACCAAATCGTTGAATGCACAGAATTCTGCAAACAATTCTCCATCCTCGTTCATCACCTCACCGAGCGCCTCTCGACCCATGGTTAGTTCTCTTCCCGTGTTGTCCCCTCCCAGTTTGGCATTCATGTCGCCCATCAGAATTTTGATATCGCCAACTGACGTCTTGTCCAGTGTGATTGAGTTGTCTGTAGAATTCCTCCTTCCTTCCTTGCTCTGCATTATTATAGGTGCATAGGTAGCATTGTATGACTGTGACCTTTCTTCCTTTGAGTTGAATCTTGCTGTCATGATCCTGGAGGAGATTGGTTCCCACTGCATGAGAGCCTTCAATGCTCTTGAGGACATCATGATAGCCATCCATAACTCAGTGGCTCGTGGTTGGCGTCTGGGTGACAATATCAGAGTAGATTATTGATTCTCCAGTTGACAGTTTGGAGAGTCCACTCCCATTCCATCTGCTTTCGCAATCCAAGCACTTCAGTGTGATACCTTCTCATCTCCTTTGCAATCTGGCTGCCTTACTGGGTTCAAACATCTTACGGATATTCCATGTCCCACGTTACTTTGGCTTTCATCGAGGGAGAGAAGACACATCGGCCAATTGGCTTCCGAAGGCTTTCACCAACTGGCGTCATTTCGCCTCTCCGATTCCAGCGACGAATAAGTTTGTTTTATTTTTTATATTTTGTTTGTGCTTTGAAGTTTCTTAGCGGTTAGATTTGTTTTACGGGTAGGGTTGCTAGCCCTATGCTCAACCTTCCCTCTTTACCCGGGCTTAGGACCGGCTAGTAACTAGTGAACTAGTTAACCAGTTCGTATTACCTCCTGTTTTTACAGTCTGATGCAGGTGGACGGCGAATGTTTGGGATTAAAAGAAAACCGACTGGATCACGCAGCAAACGTTGAGGAGCGAGAAGATGGGTATACGCTGGCCAGACCGATGAAAAGACCCTAGAAGTTTTGGATTCCGCTGATGATGATTAATGTCTAATGTCTCACAAACTCGGAGATCTACAGGTGAAAACTAACAAGTTGACAGAAGAGACAGGGCAGCGAAAACAGGACTTGAAGTTAATGTAGAGAAGACAGAGGTGATGAAGATACCCAACCAACAACAATAACAGCATCAATAACAAGCACCAATCACTATTAATGGAAGAAACCTATAAGGAGTTGTCTCTTTCACTGACACCTATCTAGGTAGCATCGTTTCAACTACAGGCGGCTGAGGTCTCACAGATGAGGACGTCAAAGCCAGGATCGGAAGGACGATAAGACGAGGCTTCTCTCATTAACCTGAAACCAGTGTGCAAATCTACTGCACTGCAGTGTACTCAGCATAAAGAACAGGATCCGGATTCTCAACACTAATGTCAATCAAGTCAGTCAGTGCTTCTATATGGCTCAGAAACTTGGCGCGTCACGAAAAGCATTTCCAAATAACTACAGACATTAAATCAACAAATGCCCACGCTCAATGCTGGAGATTTTACATGGCCAGAATAGTAAGAATAAGCAACAAGAAACTCTGGCTGGCTGGCAACGAACCAACCAACCAGGAACCTATCGCTCAACAAACATGCAGTAGTAGGAAGTGGAGATGGGCTGGATTGGGCGTATACTGAGAATGCCAATTGGGGACACCTCCTGCCAGCTCCTTGAGTGGAACGAAAAGAAGAAACGATGAGTTGGGCGTCACAGCTGCGGGTGACATAGAGGAGATAGTGTGAGGAAGAAATGAGAGCTTGTGGACAGTCGTTGGGCTAAGTTTTGAAGACTTTAGAGAACAGAGTGGAATGGAGGCGTGTTACAGAAGCCTTATGTTCCGCTAGGAACCCAAAGGAAAAACAGCGATAATAATACATAGAGATTTGAGCTAGATACGGAAACAGCAAGCTACAGCAATAACTTTTGCTTACATATGATCTTTTTGAGTATTGAGAGGTGACAAACAACATTATCCTGAAGGTTTGTTTAGCAGCATCTCCAAAACTACTACTACATACGACTTATGAAGAATTGTGATACACCTTCGCTCTATCGAGGTACTCAAAGTTAGCCAACCGAGGTTCTGCTTGTTTGTCAAGCATCAGCAATGCATATTTTCATTCTCCAGAAATCAAAATAAGCAGTGCATACTAACTAATTAAACGCGTTACAGAAATTTGGTCATGGATCAGATATGTAACACCAGACAGAAAACATCATGTTATCCTGCATGCCAGTAATGCGGTGAAATCTTATAGATGAAAGGAAGTTCGTAGAGCATGATCCTAAGCTACTACAGAGTGTTCGAAGAAGAATGCTTTAGTTAACAGCCTGTAATTCCTCTGCTACATGTAATTATATTCATCAGAAGCGATTTTCTTACTTGAAACTGTAGATTACATAGAGATTCATAGGGTATTTAGCATAAAACTTTCATTTCCTTATAAGATACTGTCGATATGTCAGAACATAGTGTCTGCCTCACTAGTAAACCAAATAAAATTCAACCCAACTTCATGAGAATTCTTTATTCTTTTCGTAACAATTTCATACCTTCTTGGTTAAAATATAAAACAAAAATTTGCACAACTTTTAAATCCCTGATAATGTTATTCGTTATCATAATAAGTTGACATAATTAGATTATGTGTTTGTTGGTAATACTCATGTGTGTTAGATTTCGAAACCATTCATATGCGGAGAAGTTGGCTTCATGTCCTGTGAACAGTTGAAATGGAGTATCAGTTATAAAATATAATGATACAGGCTATATAAACTCACAGTTAAGAAGATCAATAGAATTTCTAATCACTGATATGAATTAGCATATATCATTTACATCAGTCATTACTGTGTCTAAGGTATTTGGAAGTGACACAATTCTCTTTAAAACAACTACTGATTGCAACAGAAATCACTAATTCCTTAGAGATCTTATTATGAAGTTTGTTATTTAAGAACTGCCTGTAAACTGCTCAAATAATAGCAGAAAAAAATAGTGTTCTAGATAAAAAGCTGGTTATTTTGGAAGTTAACCTTACTGTTATTAGGAAACCAATCGTGTTACACAGGCATAAAATGATTGTCAGTCGTGTAACGAATGTATAACTTTCAACAAGTAAGTCATGGATTCGAGCATCACTCCTCTTACGGAGAGGTTTGTGCAGTCAGGTAATAACATTAGCCCCACTGCATGAATGTGCACATAATTATTGAGTGGATTCCCAGTCAATTCATAATATATGGATTTATTTGACATTACAGAAAATCTTCCTCGACTTCGTGGCTAAGTTGTATAGCAAAAACAAGTTTGATTAAGTATCAGTTAGTTGGATCCTCAGAAAAAGTAGAAAAGTTATAGTCATTTAAAAATAGTAAGCTTACAGGTTTTCCAAGTCACAGATTTGCGAAGATTTTATTATTTTCTGGTCGGTGTTCATCACTTAGTAACTTCAGTTGGAGAAACATTGGGAGTCTGGAGGCACTTGATGCGTGGTTCTTTCTCCCCAGAGTATGTCTCCCCAGCAGTAGGCATCCATGACCCCACCTCGTCAGGCATCAAACCCAGGACTTCCAGGTTTCTAGGTGAACGCATTTTAATTGTCATTAGGTCAGAATCCAATGTTCCACATTCCCTTACTTCTCTCAATTCGCGAAATAACGCGACCTTCATTCAATGACGTCGCTGAGTATGTGTCCTCACATTCGAAATGGATCGCTCCACCGGTTTTATCTTTCATACGGTGACTACTAATTAATTGAGTAATCACTACATCATAGAAGAGCCTAACAGTTGTCCTTTGTATTTCATGACTATTTTTGCCACTAAGTGACACTTAATAAAGACTAATCGGATACTAGTAACTGCCTCATTTTATCAATATTTAGTAGTGAGTAACAGTGAAGTTCAAAATGTACTTGTCGTTCTATGCGGGACGCGACAACAATACGGATCTGAGTGCTGATGTTCCCGCCGAAACTCAATTTCTAAACTGTCGTTACAGTTAATTGGATGTTAGTCACTAAGGTATTGTTATACGCTAGAAAGCAGAGGAGTAAAAACCTAGATGGAATATATGAATCTATTTGAAACAAAATGATGGGATGGATCAACATATTCAAAAGTAAGGGAACCGAGAAGAAGGTTATCAATCGATAAGACTAAAGTAACTCACGTATAACTAATCAAACCCCTACAACTAACCAATCAATACAGAAGGGATCCCACCTCTAGTGAAAGCTAGCAGTGACAAAAAATATCTCTTCAGATGGAGCGAATTAAACAATCGATGTAAAAGATGCACACGAGCCACCCAATGAGGTCGAGATAGCCTTTATCACTTAAGCCAAACAAAAATTTAAGCCAGTCAGACTGGGGCGGCCTTCATCAGCTCATTCAAACTAAAAGAGCCAACCAGTCAAAGTAAATCGACTTCGGTGTATTTCATGTAAACAAAAGATATGAAATAATCACACAAATACACACTTTCCCAAGAAAACTAGAGACGAGAGGTTAACTAGTCAGCTTCAGTACTTACCCACATACTCAACAAGTGACCAATCAAGTTAGCCCCAAGTTAACTAGTTACTAGTTACTAGCCGATCCTAAGCCCGGGTAAAGAGGGAAGGTTGAGCATAGGGCTAGCAACCCTACCCCGTAAAACAAATCTAACCGCTAAACAAACTTCAAAGCACAAACAAAATATAAAAAATAATAACAAACTTATTCGTCGCTGGAATCGGAGAGGCGAAATGACGCCAGTTGGTGAAAGCCTTCGGGAAGCCAATTGGCCGATGTGTCTTCTCTCGATGAAAGCGAAAGTAAACGTGGCGACATGGAATATCCGTAAGATGTTTGAACCCAGTAAGGCAGCCCAGATTGCAAAAGAGATGAGAAGGTATCACACTGAAGTGCTTGGGATTCGCGAAAGCAGATGGAATGGGAGTGGACTCTCCAAACTGTCAACTGGAGAATCAATAATCTACTCTGATATTGTCACCCAGACGACAACCACGAGCACACTGAGTTATGGAGTGGCTATCATGATGTCCTCAAGAGCATCGAAGGCTCTTATACAGTGGGAACCAATCTCCTCCAGGATCATGACAGCAAGATTCAACTCAAAAGGAAGGAAGGAAGGTCACAGTCATACAATGCTACACTATGCACCTATATATAATGCAGAGCAAGGAAGGAAGGAGGAATTCTACAGACAACTGCAATCAACACTGGACAAGACGTCAGTTGGCGATATCAAAATTCTAATGGGCGACATGAATGCCAAACTGGGAGGGACAACACGGGAAGAGAACAAACCATGGGTCGAGAGGCGCTCGGTGAGGTGATGAACGAGGATGGAGAATTGTTTGCAGAATTCTGTGCATTCAACGATTTGGTGATTGGAGGTGAGGCAGTGTGTTCAAGCACAAGGATATCCACAAAGCGAACATGGATTTCACCAGACACCAGGACACACTAAAATCAAATCGACTTCATCTCAATGTGAAGAAAGTGGAGACGCAGTCAGCCTACTTGAAACAAGGTCAAGGAGAGGAGCAGATGTAGGTTCACACCACTCACTATCTAGTGCAAGGAACCTTCCAAATCAAGTTAAAAGCCTTCAAGGAAGCTGGTGATAGACCTCAATTCAAGTACAACACTCGGAAACTGAAGGATGAAACTACAAAGGAGATCTTCACGGCAGTCATCAAGACAAAATGGGAGATATCGAGAAACATCCCCGAAGAAACCTGTGTGGAAGAACACTGGAAGTCTTTGGAAGAGATGTGGAAGGAAACCTGCACAGCCGTATTAGGAAGGAAGAATAAAGAAGATAAGGAATGGATCTCGACGGACCTCCACATGGAAGCTGATAGAGGAGAGGAGGATGGTGAAGCAGAAGATGAACGAGTGCAAGGATGCACAACGAGAAGAGGAATTGAGCACAATGTACAAAACACTGGACAAAGAAGTGAAGAAGAGTGCACGCAAAGACAAAAGACACTTCTACGAAACCCTGGCAAGTGAAGCAGAACAGGCTACTGGTAGGAAAGACTTGACGACATTGTATCAAATAACCAGGTTGCTATCTGGAAAGAGATCAACGCAGACGAAACCAATGAAAGATGATGACGGAAATTTAATTACGAAGGATGAGAAACAAAGGAAACAATGGGCCGATCACTTCAAAAAGCTCTTGAATCAACCACCACCTGCACTTCGTCCAGAAATACCACCAGCAGCCCAGCCGCTGAACTACAAGTGAACATAAATCCTCCAACAAAAGTGGAAGTCCTGAATGCCATAAAGCTACTGAAATGTGGGAAAGCAGCAGAACCAGAGGGAATCCCACCAGAAGCACTGAGAACAGATGCAGAGACAACAGCAGATATGCTCACACCACACCACTATTGCAGAAGGTGTGGAAGGAAGAGAAGGTACCTGGCTAGTGATTGGAAGAAGGGTTACCTTGTCAAACTATCAAAGAAGGGAGACCTCAGTGTTTGCAAGAACTGGCGAGGAATCACTCTCCTGTCCACCCAAAGCAAGCAAAATATTAAGCCGCATCATTCTGGAGAGACTAAAGGATGCACTGTATTCAAAACTACGACCGGAACAGACTGGTTGGCTTCAGGAAGTACAAATCATGTGCGGACCAAATTGCAACGCCACACCACGCATCATCATAGAACAGAGCATAGAATGGCAATCAGCTCTCTACCTCAGCTTTATCGACTTAGAGAAGGCCTTTGACAGCGTCAACCGATAAGTAATTTGGCAAATGCTTCAAACCGCAAACCTTTATCAGCCTCATTCAACAGCAGCTATATGAAGACGCCACATGCCAGCCAAGTAATTCACAATGGGAAGATCAGTGATGCTTTTGAAGTGAAATGAAGACAGGAGTGAAACAAGGTTGCCTACTATCACCCATGATATTCCTGATTGTGGTGGACTGAATCATGCAGCAAACAGTGGGGAGCGAGAAGAGGGGGATACGCTGGACTGCAGAAAAGAACCTAGAAGATCTGGATTCAGCAGATGATGCCTTATGTCTAATGTCACACAAACTCTGAGATCTACAGGCGAAAACTAACAAGTTGTCAGAAGAGGCAAGGCAGCGAAGACGGGACTTCAAGTGAATATAGAGAAGACAGAGGCAGAGGTGATGAAGATACCGCGCCAACAACTCCAACAACAACGAGCTGTAATTACCATCAGTGGGAGAAACTTGAAGGAAGTGACCTCCTTCACCTATCTAGGCAGCAGTATTTCAACTACAGGTGCCACAGGCACAGACGAGGATGTCAAAGTCAGAATCGGAAAAGCAAGACAGGCGTTCATTAGCCTGAAACCAGTGTGGAGATCTTCTGCACTCAGCATGCGGAACAAGATACGGATTTTCAACACCAACTCAGTCAAGTCAGTGCTTCTGTATGAATCAGAGACTTGGCGCGTCACGAAAAGCATTTCCAATAAACTACAGATATTCATCAACAACTGCTCCCTACGCTCGCTACTGAAGATCAGATGGCCAGAAAGAATAAGCAACAAGGAGCTCTGGGAACGAACCAACCAAGAACCTATCACGCAACAAATATGCAGGAGGAAGTGGAGATGGATTGGGCATGCACTGAGAAGGCCGACTGGGGACATCACGCGTCAGGCTAGGTCGTCGAGTGGAATCCCATGAGAGGCGACGAGTTGGACGTCCGAGGGTGACATGGAGGAGATCGTGCGAGGAGGAAATGAGAGGTTGTGGGCTGTTGTGGAACGAGGTTCAAAAGATTTCAGAGAACAGAGTAGAATGGAGACGTGCTACTGAAGCCCTATGTTCCATTAGGAACCCAAGGGACTAATAATATAATAATAATAATAAAGTAGAACATTATAAATATCCATTGACAATAAACTAATCCATTTCCTCGAGGCCACTGGTGCACTAACAGATATATCCATAATGACTTTGAAGTGTTTTTATTAAGTTAACCCTAGCTTAGAGAGTAACTAACTCTGGATATTTACACCCTCAGCTACAAATTTCCGTCACAATGCCAAAATGTAACGAGAATGGAATTATTGCATTTCGGTCATTCTTCTTCTAGAGATAGCAATAAGTTTTTATTACTATTTGTTTACTCCCATTCAGTATTTCTTGCTCTATTTCATTGTTTGAACTTTCCAGACTCAAACTCATAAGTGAACTCATTGTGATATATCGGTACCTTTCTATCAACAGGGACTAGAACTCCTTATATGCATAAAAAATAGTTCTTTTCAGAAAGTTACCTTTCCACCTTAATTTTCTGCCTTGGCAACCATTATTTAACCATAACTGCAAATCAGGATACCAAGATTGTTTAAGTATGGGTAATGCATTTGCAAGTAGACAGAAATCACATTCCGGTTTTCCAGGAAATTGATATACACTTCCTTTCTGTTGCCAGATAAAATATTCATTGAAGGCTGTTTGATTTTTGTCTAAATAATTTAGATAGCTGGCTAAATCTTTTGGACTATTAAATTGATCAACATGTATAAAAGAATTGGGTGGAGCTACTCTCTGATATTCTTCTAGTGATGCACCCATAACCACTGGGATAACATCATTTCTGAAGGAAGAAGCAAATAAAAGGAAAGTTCAGTGATATAAGGGAAAATTACAAGTATGAACTCCACAAAAAACGAGTTCAGTTATTCTTATTTTAATTAGTTTTAATTTTTCTCCATTTTAATGTTTATTCATACTTTTTTGCATTTATTTTTATACTACTTATAAATATTAAGTGGTACACGTATTTTCTCCAAAGTGTTGACTTATTTATTTCTTGAAAGAAAAGACGTTTAGAGAGGCAGTCCCTCTTTTCAGTGATATCATTCTCAAGCTATACACTTACATACATAAATATCCTATTCAATCGGTAACGAAAAAGGACTATTTCATTGACAATTTCTGCATAAAACTCAGTTTTGATTATCATTCAGGAGGTCCGAGAAATAACAACATAACCTTAAAATAGTAATGTGAAGAAAGAATTTAAAACTTAAGTAAATTTGGTTTCTAATGTAACTGATATATTACGGTTAGACGGTCTGTTGAATGTATGAGAAATCAGAATCCGAAGACATGAGAGTATGTCATGTGTAAGATGTCAAAGAAAAGATTTTGAGTGTAACTCTCTGTATAAGTTATATACATAACCTCGCCCGGTTAACTAGTTCAATAGACACTAGAGTTCAATTAAGCCTAGTGAAGGGTGCATGCTGAAACTTTTTCAAACTGTGGAAGCCATGCCAGCTAACATTTTGAAACCTGAAATCTGCGTTGAAAAAAAAATGACCAGTCACCTCAGCTGCAATGTATTTAACTTTATTATTATTATTATTATTATTATTATTATTATTATTATTATTATTACTATTATTACTGTTATCATTATTATCACAATTACTATTATTATTTGTCCTCTGGGTTCATAGTGGAACATAGGGCTTCACTAGCACGTCCCCATTCCACTCTGTCCTCTGCAATATTTGCACCCAGATCCATGATTGCACACAAGCACTCATTTCTTCCTCACATCATCTCTTGCATCTCACCCTATGCTGGCACGTTCAACTCATCGTTTCCTATCTACGTTCCACTCGATGGCCCGGCACGTGATTTCCCGAATCAGTCTTCTCAGTGTATACCCAATCCATCTCCATTTCCTTACAGTACATATCTGTTGAACGATAGGTTCCTGGTTGGTTGGTTTGTTGATAGAGTTCCTCGTTGCCTATTCTCATTATTCTGGCCATCTGTGTTTCAGTTACGAGCCAGAGTAGGTGGCACTTGTTGATGAATATCTGTAGTTTGCTGGAAATGCTTTTCACAACGAGCCAAGTATCTCAACCATATAGCAGCACTGACTTGACTGAATTGGTGTTGAAAATCCGGATGTTGTTCACGCTTTATGTTGAGTGGAGTGCAGTAGATCTCCACACTGACTTCAGATTGATGAACGCCGGTCTTGCTTTTCCGATCATGTCTGGCTTTGACGCCCTCATCTGTGCCTGTGGCGCCTTTAGTTGAAACGAGGCTGCCATGCCTAGATAGATGAAAGAGACTACTTCCTTCAAGTTTCTCCCACTGATGGTAATTACAGCTCGTTGTTGGTGGTGGTGTTGGTTGGGTATCATCATCACCCGTATCTTCTCTACATTAACTTCAAGTCCCGTCTTTGCTGAACTGTCTCTTTTGTCAACTTGTTAGTTTTCGCCTGTAGATCTCAGAGTTTGTGTGACATTAGACATAAGGCATCATCGGCTGAATCCAAATCTTCTAGGATACTTTCCCCAGTCCACCTAGCCTATCTCCCTCTTCTCACAGCTCCTCACTGTTTGCTGCATGATCCAGTCGACCACAATCACGAATATCATGGGTGATAGTAGGCAACCTTGTTTCACTCCTGTCTTCACTTCACTGCAAAAGCATCACTGAGCTTCTCATTGTGAATTACTTGGCTGGCATGTGGCGTCTTCATATAGTAGGTGGTTGGACGAGGTTGATAGAGGTTTGTGGTATTCCGTAGCGTTGAAGCAGTTGCCAAATTACTTATCGGTCGACGCTGTCGAAGGCCTTTTCAAAGTTGATGAAGTTTAAGTAGAAAGTTGACTGCTATTCTGTGTGAACCTACACCTACTTCCCTTCTTGATCTTGTGTCAAGTAGGCTGTCTCCACTTTCTTGAGATTGAGATGAACTCGATCTCATCTTTAGCCTGTCCATCAGGTGAAATACATGTCGCTTACTTTTAAATATGTTTGTGTTTGTACACACTGTCTTTAATCAACTAATCGTTGAATGCTCAGAAGTCTGCAAACAATTCTCCATTCTTGTTCATTTCACAGTGCTTATGGACCCGGTGTTGTCCACTCCCAGTTTGGCATTCATGTCACCCCACACATTAGAATGAATTTTGATGTGGCCGTTTAGGGCATTGTGTCTTCTATTAGTGATTGCGGTTGTCTGTAGAATTCCTCCTTCTCCTCTTCATCTACATTATTTGTAGGTGCATGGCATAGCATTGTATGATTGTGATTTTGCTTCCTCTCGAGTTGAATCTTGCTGTCATGATCCTGATCCTGCAGGCGGAGATTGGTTCTCACTGCATGACAGAGAGCCTTCGATGCTCTTCAAGGGGACATCCTGATAGCCACTCCAAAACTCATTGTGCTCATGGTTGTTGTCTCGGTGACAATATCCGAGTAGATTATTGACTATCCAGTTGAGTGTTTGGAGAGTCCACTTCAATTGCATTTGCAGATTCCTCACAGATTCCTAGCACTGCCGTGTTGTACCTTCTCATCTCTTTTGCAACCTGGGCAGCCCTGCTAGGTTTAAACATAGTGCGGACATTCCATGTCCCATGTTTACTTTCGCCTACATCGAGAGTGGAGAAGACACATCGGCCAATTGGCTTCCTGAAGGCTTTCATGAACCGGCATCAATTCGTCTCCACGATCTGATTCCAACGAGGAATAAATTTGTTTTCATTTTATATGCTTTGTCTGTGCTTTGAAGTGTTTTTAGCGATTGGATTAGTTTTAGGGATTAGGGTTGCTAGCCCTATACCCAAGCTTCGGTGTTTACCCGGGCTTAGGCCTGGCTAATAACTAGTGTTCTACGTAACTTGGTGAGGTTGCCTCTCCTGATAATTTTTCAAATCTATTTATAAGCAGGCATAGCTACGAATTATTTTCTTTAGCAGGACCTCTCTTTAATAAACTTTTCAAAGTAATCTTACTGCAGCCAGTGACCATTCTTTAATCATAGGCAGTTCTATCTCTGGAAAATATGCGTGAAACAGTAGGAAGAACCTTACCTTATCGCCTGGATTAAGCTTAACACAATCATGTAGGATGCCAACAACCCAGAATCTTAAAATCTTAATCTTTTAAAGCATCCTGAACTACGGAAGGCGATGCTTGCACTTCTAATACGAACTCAAGACCACCTCTAAACATTCAGCAGAGAAAATATCAAATAAATAACCACATGTCTCTGGCAAACCGTGATGACCTGAGTGACGAGTATCCTCCTTTCTGCCTCACAACTTTTAAAAGCAACACAGCCTTCGAGTACAACTTCTGCAGTCACTGGATGCAATTTCGATAAGATAAAGATGTGCCGGGTAAGTTCTGTGTTTCTATGATACACCATCCATATACAATGTTCTGGCGCTTTTGCCCACAGTGTAGTTCGAACTCATCGTCAACGTAATGCTTATTAAGCATGAAATAAATTGTACATTCCCATCAATAGATGTATATAAATGTGATTGTAAAGCTTAATGAATGAAATCGCCAAAGAATCTCTTCTTTACTGAACGACTTCTTATTTTCTTACATAAAGTTTACTTGAAACTTCATCCCAGACTAGAACAAGTACGAATCATACAAGGGGACCTCAGCTTCTTTATGGTTTTAGACATATATTGCTGTTGATTGCTGATAAGCATGAAACCCATGTCAAGGATGACTCGCATCATCCACAATACATAAAACCTTCCAATTCTTTTGCTGTAACTATGTGGTACAAAAACATATCAACAGTAATCAAGTGAGAAATAGGTAGTCATATGGAGTCTGCGGTACAATCCAAACTATTTTTCTGCATAAATGGCCTAGTTTAGAGACAGTTCTTTGAAAAAGCTAAAAGTCAGCTGATCAAACAATATGTTCGCAGACGGTTCGAGAACTATTTGTTATCAGACTGATAAGCTGAGAAAACTGGAATCTGTTATCTAAAGAAATTGATGAAGCAAACAAAATGCATCATCAACAACTTGGAAATATTATGAAATGAGTCATGTTTACACTACAGACGAATTTTTAACGAATATAGTAGATATAATTTATGATGATTGAAGGTGAAATGGAAATTTGAACCACGGATGAATTCAAGCCAACAACCACTGGGTTCCTAGTCAAATTCCTATCGACTGATCTCCTAGGTCACGATGTCAGTACGTGATGACGTCATCTTGAGGTCAATCAGTTTCTATAAACTTCTAAACTAAATAACACCAGTATACAGACTCAATAATCTAAAAGTTTAAATTCTTTTTATACCTGAAACAATGCTGTTTTCAATAGTTTTTCAAATGTTATCGATTTGAAAAAAAATACAACCCCTATCATATATATCTCCCACTGTCTGTATAGATAACGTTAGTAATGGAATAATTAGGATTTTAGAGAGTGTTACTGAAATCAAGCAGAAAATAACTTACTTCAGAGCATTATCAAAAAATTTCTCAGTTATATAATCTTGACAGAGAGAATTTTCAAAGCTTAAATAAAACTTATAGTCTTCTTTTAACATTTGAAAACAATTAAATCTTGTACACTTCCTTTGAGTACATCTACCGTATATATCAACCTTTAATGACAATAAAAAAATTATCAAGAAACTGATGAATATTAGAATGTTATATAAACTGTAGAAAAACTATGTATGCAAACAGTATTAATAGGTATGTTTCTACACAGATTACTCATTGACAAACACACACTAAGACACTGTCAGCCAATAACTACGTAGTATATGTCATACAGAGTGTACTGATGAAGCATACATATATCTTCGAAACCATCTTACTTACAAACAGCTTCACCAGTTGCCTCATAGATGAAAACATGACTAAGTAGTAGTAGTAGAAGAAGCAAGAAAAGAACTGGAATGGATCTCAATGGACATATGGAAGCTGATAGAGCAGAGAGAGTAAGATGGTGAAACAGAAGACAAACCAGTCCAGTGCAGGGATAAACAACGAAAAGAGGAACTGAATACAACCTATAAAATGCTGCGCTGGACAAAGAAGTGAAGAAGAGTGTGCACAAAGACAAAGACACTTCTGTGACACGCTGGCAAGTGAAGCAGAACAGGCTGCTGGTAGGAGAGACAGAGACCTGACAACATTATATCAAATAACCAGTTTACTATCTGGGAGGGGAGAGATCAATGCTGATGAAACCAATGAAAGATAGTGAAGGAAACCTAGTTACGAAAGAGGAGAAACAAGGGTGATGATGGTCTGACCACTTCGGAAAGCTCTTGAATCCACCATCACCTGCACTTCATCTAGAAATACCACCTGCAGACCAGCCACAGAAATACAAGTGAACAAAAGCCCTCCGAGGAATGTCAAAGTCCTGAACACCACAAAGCTACTGAAATGCGGGAAAGCAGCAGGACCAGATGGAATCATGCCAGAAGCACTGAGAGCAGACGGAGAGACAACAGCGGATATGCTCACACCACTATGGCAGAAGGTCTAGAAGGAAGGAAAGGTGCCTGCTAACTGATTGGGAAAAGGGCTGCCTCGTCAAACTGCCAAAGAAGGGCGACCTAAGTCTTTGTAAGAACTAGCGCGGAATCATGCTTCTGTCCACCCAAAGCAAAATTTAAGCCTCATCATCCTGGAGAGACTAAAAGATGCATTGGATTCAAAACTTCAACCGAAACAGGCTAAATTCAGGAAGAATAAATCATGTGCGGATCAAATTGCAACGCTAACCTACGCATAATCATAGAACAGAGCATAGAATGCAGTCAACTTTCTAATTAACCTTCATCAACTCTGAAAAGGCCTTCGACAGCGTCAACCGAGAAGTAATTTAGAAACTGCTTCAGCACCATGGAACACCACAAACCTCTATCAACCTCGTCCAACTACCTACTATATGAAGACGCCACATGCCAGCCAAGTAATTCACAATGAGAAGATCAGTGATGCTTTTGCAGTGAAGTGAAGACAGGAGTGAAACAAGGTTGCCTACTATCACCCATGATATTCGTGATTGTAGTGGACCGGATCATGCAGCAAACAGTGAGGAGCTGTGAGAAGAGGGGGATAGGCTAGGTGGACTGGGGAAAGTATCCTAGAGGATTTGGATTCCGCCGGTGATGCCTTATGTCTAATGTCACACAAACTCGAAGATCTACAGGCGAAAACTAACAAGTTGACAGAAGAGACAGTTCAGCGAAGACGGGACTTGAAGTTAATGTAGAGAAGACACAGGTGATGATGATACCCAACCAACACCACCAACAACAACGAGCTGTAATTACCATCAGTGGGAGAAACTTGAAGGAAGTAGTCTCTTTCACCTATCTAGGCATGGCAGCATCGTTTCAACTACAGGCGCCACAGGCACAGATGAGGGCGTCAAAGCCAGACGTGATCGGAAAAGCAAGACCGGCGTTCATCAATCTGATGTCAGTGTGGAGATCTACTGCACTCCACTCAACATAAAGCGTGAACAACATCCGGATTTTCAACACCAATTCAGTCAAGTCAGTGCTGCTATATGGTTGAGATACTTGGCTCGTTGCGGAAAGCATTTCCAGCAAACTACAGATATTCATCAACAAGTGCCACCTACGCTGGCTCGTTACTGAAACTCAGATGGCCAGAATAATGAGAATAGGCAACGAGGAACTCTGTCAACAAACCAATCAACCAGGAACCTATCGTTGAACACATATGTACTGGAAGGAAATGGAGATGGATTGGGTATACACTGAGAAGACTGATTGGGGACATCACTTGCCAGGCCATCGAGTGGAACGTAGATGGGAACGATGAGTCGGACGTGCCAGCATAGGGTGAGATGCAAGAGATGATGTGAGGAAGAAATGAGTGCTTGTGTGCAATCATGGAGCTGGGTGCAAATATTGCAGAGGACAGAGTGGAATGGGGACGTGCTAGTGAAGCCTTATGTTCCACTAGAAACCCAAGGGACAAATAATAATAATGTTGAATGTGAATCGATCATCAGAGAATAATCGCTGTCATACTGTCTGACGAAATTCGATCAACTATATTTGCAATATAATCACCAGGGTAGAAGACTTACTGTCATAGGTCATATTTAATAATGTCATTTGTTTGGAGACGATTTGCAGTATGAATGCGTTCGAGTTTCCTGACGACTGAAAATACACCTCTCTGATGACACTTATATGCAAAGGGTGACATCTCTGAATGCAGCATTAAATGAGGGGTGGGAGGATGAGGAGGAACAAAAATCCTTTTGAGTTTGAAGATGTCTACTGCTACAAAGCATTCAGAAGATTGCATGATACCATTTAACAGTTATTAATTCTGTTTCTCTAAAGATCTTGCATACAAAACTTATATCCAGAGGTAACCAAGTAATAGATTTACTTGGGAACAGCCCTTCTATATTATTTAGGAGAATATCGTTTCGTAATGATGGGCAGTGCTAGCCACTGCCCAACATTACTAAAGTAGTTAAAAGACAGGCAATTTCGAGGCATCCGCACAGGAGCCCATATGCCAATGGAGACTGATCAATTCGGTCGAATCAACAACGGTGTAATACAAGCAATAACACTGAAGAATATCGTTTCTAGCTAGATTAAAACTAAACTCTACTAGTCGTCAATGCTTCAACTTGCCTCTTAAATGTAAACATTTTCATACTGATATCAACTGGTTTGAAAATTTTTTTGGAATAAAGTGTACCATCGGTGGTTGAAACTTACTTCTTGAATTGTATGGAATTATATTTGAAAATGATTTCACTTGATAAGCAGATAGGCAGGCACATAATTGAGCTGGTTAAAATCGCTACACTTCATAGTGGCATACAAACAACAAGTGGATAGAATAGGATTGATATCAAAGTAGACAAATTTGTGTGAGAGAATAAACAGTTGTAAGATAAATGTTAGTTCAAATATTCAAGCTTCAGAAGACGTCAAAGTGTGGATAAATCTGCATCACGGTGACCGATTTCCTGCGATATCATAACAGTTCTTAACAGTGAATTCTATCGTCTTGGAGGACCCAACCAGGTAGTGTACACACTTCTACATGGCTCAGACCAACAGTCAGGAACTTCATACATTGATACCATATCTTGATTTGGTCACCTTAAACCCTCTTCCAACCTTATTCAACTTCCTCTAGCGTGGCACTCGAAGTAGGCTGTGGGCCTGTATTTGCAGTACATGTTCAAGCCATCTCAGTCGACTTTGGTTAACAACCACATTAATCGACTTGCCTGTTTGCCTAGTATTCTTCGCCTGACCTCAAAATTGGTCACACTGTGGTTCCATCAAAGACGACCAATACTACGAAAACACCTGTAATCAAAACACTGTAAAAGTGTCATGTCTCGCACTTTTAACGGCCATGTCTCAAAGCGATATAACGGGACAGATTGGACTGTAGCATAGGTATACTGGATGAGTTATTAACTGATTTTCGTCTAATTTAACTCGTCAGCCTGATTATTTTTAGATTGCTTGAGGTAATCCTTTAAACTTGCAAGGTTCTTTGAAAGTAGTTCTGTTCAGTGAATTTCTCAATTTTGTTTATTCAAGTTTGTTTTTTCGTATCGTAAATAAACTATCATTGTACCTTCATTTCCTATTATCAGGATGCTGAGACTTTGAACTCACGATATTTGATATAGTTCATCATTTTCTAACTACGTTTCTCCTTACATAGCTCTGGTTCATTGATTTAAGCACCTAACTTGATGAGTCCGAACACAACTCAATTTATCTAGATTTGGGCAACCAGATAGTATTATTAGCCCTGATAAAATACCTCTGGTCCAGTGCTTCTTGCATGAGGTTGATTGGATTTTGATCGGTTTCAAGACTTCTTATTCAATTCCCTATTTAACTAGATATACTTCTTCATTCGATATCTTATTTAGGCTACCACTCAGATAGTCGAAATGACAACACTTCTGTAAGTTATTTCAACATGTGTCCATCTGGTGGTTTAGTCAATACACAATCTTAAGTTCACAGAGCATACATAAGTAAGGTTAGAATATCAACGCCAACTGATTTATCACTGGAGAATAACCAATTTCATGTCATCTAGTCCTGAGTACTGATCGAATTCTATTGACTGTTTTGTAATGTGGTCACTGACCTGAGAAGCTTAATGCCACAGTCTATTTTGATTGATGTTAGAAAGTTTGAAACAGTCAACAGGAAGCCTCGATTGACATCAGTTTCATGTTTGTTAAGAGTCGTCACAGCAAGGTATATCTGCAACCTCAAAGGAACTGATACCCCTCACAGTTCGAATCTCTCGGATGACATCAGTTCCCTCGAAGTTGCATGCGGATAAGCCTTACTGACAAGTGGCAACAAGTATGAAATCCTTGGTCTAATATTTCCTGTCGACTGTCTTCAACCATCTAGCCTATCAAAGCCAGTTCTATTTTAGCATTTCAGTAGAAAACGCGTTTGAATATGAAGCCAAAGATCTCACCGATCAGTTGAAGAGACCTTCATAGGTCGAGACCCTCTGTTTTCGATATCACTTGAAGCCCAATCTTTCTAAAACTTTTTTCTCTTTATTATGTTTTAACTGGTACAGTTTTTAAGGATGTTAGTATTGAGGATTAATTTGGAAGGGAACTTGGTGTGAAGAGATCCTGGAAGGTTACTTTCTTCGTCTTCATAAATTTGTACTCTTTTCGTTGCCTAAAATGACACTACGATTATGCCATTACCTTCAGATTGGTTGAGAAACTAGAAGTGTAAATTTTCTAATCCAAATTATCAGAAATATGACACAATTTTTCAGCAGCTTTTATGATAGACACATAGATGTGTAGAACACATTGGTTTCATAGCAATGGGAATTAGACGTGCTGATCAGATTAGTAGGCGGGAACAACAAACTGTGGACAGATTACGATGATATCATCTCATTTCGTCAGCTGCTTACAACCAATAAAACGTTTGAAAGGAGATTACCATATAAATTTAACATATTTGAGTAAGTCAGCACAAAATTAGCCGGCGAGCAAGTCCAATATGTGACAAAGTAAAATTGATGGAAGTAATATGAATAGAAGTGATAACGATAAGGTATATTACAGTTTCGTACTTATATAAAATTAATTACAACATCCTCGTCAAATGGAAATGCAGTGGGATAGGGAAAGGAATATATGGGATTTTGACAAGAGATGAAGTAAGTGAATTCAGTGGAGAGATGAATTAACTACAGTAATAGGAATAATTCAGAAACAAAGTATAGTGAGTTGGGCTCGATCGAGTGAAGTTGCAGTTGACTGTGAATTAAACAATTTACTACTAGTAATGAGAAAAGTAGGAGATGATGTAATCGAATATTAGAAGGGTGTGTACATGATATCTTACAGTGGTCAGGGAGTAAAAACTGCTTCTTTCTGGACGCTAAAATTTAGTTTCAGGCTTTTGATTACGACACTTTCAGCGAAAAGTAGGAGACTGAAATTCTTACACTTGCTAATTGCTTTGAAATATTTCGAGATGTTCACGTAGTATTGTTTATCAATTCTGCATCTAGTAATTACGTTACTGAGACTACTTCATCTCCTAAGTTGTTGGCTTTTTGAAATAAGTTGAAAATATCTGAAATCGGTTCTCATTTAGCTCTTTTGTAGTTTACTTGGTGGCCATTCATCGTGTTGTAGTTTGCATTTGGTAATTAACAGTATCAGCAGATAACAATAATAATAAATGGTATCCATTGTACAAGATGTGACTCCTGTGTTTCAGTGGCTCTTTTAATGACGCTTTAGAGTTTGAAGGTATAGGTAATAAATTTGAGTCTCAGGAGGAACACCACCACTTGCTGGGGTGTAAATACAACCGACCAATGAGTCCCAAATTAGATGAAACATGCGTCCTGAACTTCACTGCTGACCACTAAGCAAGTTATAACATGATAAATATTTAGACAGTATCGAAATATCTGCACAGGAGTTCATCTGCGAACCAATGTCCAGCAATTCGACTCAGTGTAGCAACGGGAAATTACAAGTATCAATGAACATCTTTTGTCCGTTAGGTGAACTTTTTTTTAAAGACATATGAGACTTCTTCCATCTAAGTGTGTTGTTTTTCAATTTGTTTGATTAACTTCTACCGCATCTACTTTTACTTTTTGTGAATAGTCACTTTACTTACATCAATTATTCTAAATGCTGTTAGTATTCAGATGCATGAACTGAAACTTCTTCAACGACCAACTTTAGTTTATAATTATCATCATCAAAACAGTCGATGGAAGTTATATCTAAGCAGAATTAATAAGATAAAGATCCTTTAAAATAAAATTTGGTAATTTTGAGAAGATGAAGAATCTTTGTAGATCAGATGGATAATTTTGATGATGTTTTGCACTCTGAGCAAGACAGTTTAGTCTTGAAGTTTTTATTATCATTCTAGACAATATCATCATGATGATATAGATATGTAGGTATGTAGATGACACGTTTGTCATGATAAAAAGAAACAAATTAAAAAACGCTTGGAAATTAATCAATAACATTTTTGAGGGAGTTGTGGGGATTTGAAAATATTTCAAGTTGTTATTCATCATAGACTGACATCAGTTAGAGGAACAAAGGAAACATGGGAGCACTGGAAAGCCAGCTGTTTCGTCGTGGTATGGGACTCCTCAGGAGTGCTCACCCACGACCCCGCCTTCCAGGGGTGGAACCCGCGACCTTCAGGTTCCGTGGTCAGCAAGTTATCATTGAGCCACTGGTCAGAATCCATTAGTCCATATTTTCAACTTCATTTATTGACAATAGAAGAGGAATTAAATAACAAACTTGCATATTTAGATGTTCTCCTTACTAAAACGAATTAGAGAAAATTGAAAACTGAAATATACAGCAAACCAATTCATACAATTAAATCCTCAACTAGAATACCGACAGCACACAAAATCTTATGTGTAAAAAAGGTGAAGACAGACTGTAGCAGATCAACTCTGAGGGGGGAAAGAAGAAAGCTATTTAATGAGTGTTTCAAGAAGGACGGGTATCCACGTGACCTCATCAACAGATTTACGCAATTCGCCGTCAACCAAGAAGTCAGCTTTGCTAGATAACAAACGAATTGTCCTACCCTTCCTTGAGATCGGATTATTATTGTGCCTCACAAACCCCTGAAACCTCTTCAGTCTCTGTTATGCATGCCAAAGAATACAATAGTAAAGGAAGATGAACTGAACATTATCTACAAAATAAACTTCGGAAACTGCGAAAAACACTACATTAGACAGAGTGATCTCCTGCACTCTTCGTATCCATCTTCATGAACATCAACTAGCAGTGAAGCGTCATGACTCATATCAATGCATACAGACAATTGTGGATAGGAATTTGACTGGGAAAATGTGAAAATCTTGGATAGAGGAAATACAATGAATGGCGGGGAATTTTTAGAAGTGAGGTATTCAGGTCAGTTAGCGATCAACGTATATATATTGACATTGACTCACTCTATCAACAATAAGAAGTATAAAAAGGACAAAGATCACGTCAATAGGACAACTAATCGAATTAAATACGAAGACAATGACAAGACCTTGGCAGAAACAACTAATCACACTGAAAACCATCAGGACATGTTGCTTGACAAATTGTGGAGAAAACTATATTGATCACTTCATTCTGAAGTTTGTGCTTATGGTGTTGTCTAGAACGACAATAGAAGCTGTATGATTAAAGCATGGAGCTCAGAGAACACAACACCATCAAATTTATCTTCTTCAGCTACAATTATTCTCCATCACCATCAAAAAATTAGGGTAAGTTTGGACGGCAAGCTTAATTGATCTTCAGCATTGGCTGTAGTACCATAAAAATGGCTACCTCAGCATTATTCTTGTGTTTCAGTTCGAACCTTGAAAATCTAGAACAGATATCATTCACAATGAAAGGCATGTATAAAATCTGTGACGTTGAGCTAAAAATCAGAAAAGACTTTAAAAGCACATGTCGACTCCTTGAAGTCAATGTTTTCACAGACTGCTCAGCTCAAACTGTCGCGATTGAGCATGTTTTTGGTGTGGGTGGCTTCGGGTATCTATACACCAATTGCTTGGCGCAAGTATCCACATAACTTTTTCACTAAATTAACTTCTCGCGCTTACAAAAATAGATGAATATTTATGTTCAACTTGGTAGAAATCAAAGTAATCATGTTACGTTGCATGCTGACCCTACTGACGTTGCATTAGACAAAACGCTACTGACTTACTTTGAATTATCCAAATGTTTGTCACAAATTCTTATAAAATTTACTTTGGTTTACTTGGTTCCAGCTATGACAGGCTGTACACGATATCACTATCTGAATTCACAAAGTAGCTACTTAATTATCAAATAGCAGTATATCTTATTAGATTAAATTTGTGAAGAACCAGACAGCAATTCTACTTAACACTACTTACCTGAATATGTTTTGACAGTTCGTAAGCATATAAATTTCTTGGACTTTTAGCGTAACAATTGCTAACAACCCACGCTACAGTCTTACGCTTTCTGCTGGCTACATCACGAGGTTTTAATGGAGGGTTAGCATAGTATTCAGGGATTGGAGGAAGCGGTACAAAAGCACCATAGGGCACTCGAATTGTAGAATCCAGCCTATATGTAGCTGTGAAATTAATCTGTTAGAAAAAAAGGTTGAAAATCACAAGTTTTATCACTATGAATAGCTGATGAGTGGATCTGGGAAAAGTTTATATCAGTGTTTAATTGAGAATTACATTAACGATACTAAAAAATTGCTAAGCTTAACATTCTGTACCTCACATCTTGATCACAAGTGACTCACCTCAATGAAGGGATAATCTGAGATGCTTATGAATTGAGTCACAGTTAACCCCACCTCCACTTGTAGTTGACATCAGTTCAAACATGTCGCAGACTGATGAATTTTCACTGTGTAGAAGGATGAAGGATACATTTCAAGTGGATTATTTCAAAACGACAAGGAATAGATATCGAATATTCGACTGTTTCTAATGTTTGCTCAAAAGACTCTGATTTCTATTTAAAACTATAATCTTAATGTGTATTGGCTTTTGTGTTATTCGAAATGCAAGGATCCTTGTTGTTAGAGAAGCAATCAGATCGTGCCAGAATTCTCTAGATAATCACGACTAAGCATGTAAATACTTAATTGGATAAATCGACAAAATCGGTCAGTGAATTCCATACATTGAGAATTAAATGATGAAAACCAATTAAAAAAATGATTATTATATAATTTTTAATTTGTCCGTTTCTGCTGAATGATGAGAGATATATTTCAACTTTTGGATGACGGAGACTGAGTGATTGAGTACAAGAGAGTTCAGGATGAATGGTATTGGATGTTAATGTGTATGCCGGAAGACCCGACTGTCATGGACTCGATCCTCGTAAAGAGTCAAAGCTGCAAGTTGTCAAGGAGTTCCATTGTCCCTAGGCTTTTACTAGTTTCCCATATCATATCAGGTAGTGATCAAAACTGACTTAAGATCTAATTGACAGTTATAAGAGTAAGCTGTTTTACTGCCTTACTTTCTAGTTATCAGTTACATGATGGATTACACAATTGTATGACTCCACAAAGCTGTTATTCTTTGTTTTAACAAAAAAAATAATCAGAGAATAATGGTTCGTTTAGTAGACAATCTGAATGATGATAGTTTCCAGGTGAATAATTATCTGTGATTAAAAAAATCACTCATTGATGAGTTGTATAACATGGACAGTACGTTAACTGCAATCGCTTCCGTCCAATGTAGGCGCATTAACGAACTGTAACCGAGCGTAACAACTGAAGACGCATGTTCAGTGAACAAAGTAGAAAAAGTGTTAGACATTTTTGTAATGATCGCTTTCTAATAGAATGATTACCTTGTTATATTTGTCATTAAGTAAAGTACAGGGAGTTAAAAAGAAAAGTTATTAATAAACAAACATTGAAGAGAGATGCAATATTACGTACACAGATATGAGAACAAAACAAACATTAAAAAGGTGGTTAGTCAGAAACCACAATGTTGGTTAACAAATTTCGCTAGCTAGATCAACCTGAATGGTTTCTAACTACTCATGATCAACTTTTGGTTAGTTAGGTAGATCACATAATAGTACACCCTACTGAAATTGTGAGTGATTGGTTTACAAAATTGCTTATCTGTATGAAATGAACTTTGTAGTGTGTAAGCGATTGAATCTGAGAATCATCATATACAGATAAATACTGACTAACTACTAAATTCTTCAACTTTTCTTACAACAAGTTAATCATTGGATTTAATTGTCTCTGTATAGTTTGAAACAAGAAAAATTACTGATTAAAACCAACAAACAACTGTATGAATGAGGATAAAGTCTAAAAAAATAACTGTAATCTTTCATAAGATAATATCACAAAGTACAAAACAGATTGCATGAATGTTAAAAAGAAGTCTGAGTTACTTCGATACCATTTTTGTAATGTTAGATCATATGTAATGTTTATTAGTTTACTCTCAGTTATAAGATAAATACATATGTGGTAGATTATTCAAATAAAAACAATTTTTCTGTTTACTTAAAAAAAAACACAGTCAACAGTGAACTGATTCGAAAATGCCCTGACGAAGTGTTATTCCACATTGGTACGTGTTACCCACGTGGTGACTGGTCAGAGATTAAACCAAGAAAAATCAATTGTCTTTCAAAAACATGTAGTTTATCATTCATTCATTCATTCATTCGTCCATTCATTCATTCATTCGCTCATTCACTCATTTATTCATTCACCCATTTATTTATTTACTTATTTATTCATTCATTTATATGTTCGGATGTGTAAAACACGAAAATTCGCATACATTGCCATCCAGAAATGCACTGTATGCCTCTAAATAGTATAAATCTTTTATCAATTGTCCCTTCGGTTCCTAGTGGAACATAGGGCTTCAGTGACAGGTCTGCATTTCACTCTCTTCTCTGAAGTCATTTAAACCTGGCCCCACAACTACCTGTAAGCTTTCAATTCTTCATCACAAGATTTCCCTGATATCACTCTCATCTGGGATGCTCAACTCCTCTTTTCCGGTTTGACTTCCACTCGACAGTCTGATGCGTGATGTCCCCGAATGGTCTTCTCAGTCTATGCCAAATCCAATCCAATCCATCTCCACTTTCTTCTACTGCATATTTGTTGGGCTATAGGTTAATGGTTGGTTGGTTCGTTGCCAGTCAGCCAGAGTTCCTCCTTGATTATTCTCATTATTCTGACCATCTGATCTGATCTGATCTTCAGTGTCAGTAATCAGTGAGAGTAGGTGACAGCTGTTGATGTAATGTTTATCTGCAGTTTCTTGGAAATGCTTTTCGTGACGCGCCGAGACTCTCAAACATATAGAAGCACTGAATTGACTTCAGTGTTAAAAATCCTGATCTTGTTCACGATTTATGCTGAGTGGAAAGGAGTGGATCTCTACACTAATTTCAGATAAATGCATGAAGGCCTGTCCTGCTCTCTTTCCAATCCTGGCTCTAACATCCTCGTCCGTGCCGCCGCCTGTAGTTAAAACGATGCTGCTCTGCCTAGATAGGTGAAATAGACTACTTCTCCCAGATTTCTCCCGTTCATGGTGATTGGTGCTTCTTGTTGTAGTTGTTAGTTGGTTATTTACATCACCTCTGTCTTCTCGACATTCACTCCAAATCCCTTTTTCACTGCCTCGCATTGCTTCGCCTCACCTCGTCTATTCTGCCTCCAGATCTTCGACTTTGTGAGACAACACATTAGACATGGATGATCATCGGCGAAGTTCAAATCTTCTAGGTTCTTTTCATCAGTCAATCAGCGTATGCCCATTTTCTCACTCCTCACAATTTCTTGCATGATACAGTCGAGTTGAGTCGAGTCGACCACAATCAGGAACAACACCGGAGATGGTATGCGGCAGCCTTGTCTTATTCCTGTCCCTTGTCTTCACTTCAAAGGCATAACTGAGCTTTCGATTGTGAATCACTTGGCATGTAGCATCATACAGCATCTAGCTGTAGAATGAGGTTGATAAAAGTTTGTTGTACTGAAACCGTAGTGTTGAAGCAGTTTCCAAATTACTTCTCGGTCGACGCTATCGTAGGCCTTTTCAAAGTCAATGAAGTTGATGTAAAGATCCAGTTGACTCCTATTCTATGTTCTGTTCTATGATGATGCACAGCATGGCGTAGAGTTGCAATTCGATCCGCGCATGATTTATACTACCTGAATCCAGTCTGCTTCGTTTGTAATTTCGAATCCAGAGCATCGTTTAGTCTCTCCAAAATGATGCTGATTATTATTTTGATTGGTGTGGACAGCAGCATGATGACACGCCAGTTCCTGCAAAGACTTAGGTCTCCCGTATTTGGGAGTTAGACAAGGTAGCCCTTCTTCCAGTCAATTGGCAGATACCTTTCATTCCTTCCTTCCTCCCTTGCAAAACTTCTGCAATAGTGGGGTGAGAATGTCCACTGTTGTCTCTGCGTCTGTTTCCAGTGTTTCTGACGGAATTCCATCTGGTCCTGTTGCTTTCCCGGATTTCAGCAACTTTATGCATTCAGGACACCTGCTTTGTTGGAGGGCTTGTGTTCGCTGGTAGATCTGTGACTGGGATGCTGGTGGTATTCTGGAAGAGTTGCAGATGTTGGTTGTGATAGTGGTGGTGGCCGATTCAAGAGGTTTTCGAAGTGGTCAGACCATCATCACCCTTGTTTCACCTCTTTCGTAACTAGGTTTCCTTCACTATCTTTCATTGGTTTCATCTGCGTTGATCTCTCCCCTCCCAGATAGTAAACTGGTTATTTGATGTAATGTTGTCAGGTCTCTGTCTCTCCTACCAGCAGCCTGTTCTGCTTCACTTGCCAGCGTGTCACAGAAGTGTCTTTTGTCTTTGTGCACACTCTCCTTCACTTCTTTGTCCAGTGCAGTATTTTATAGGTTGTATTCAGTTCCTCTTTTCGTTGTTTATCCCTGCACTGGACTGGTTTGTCTTCTGTTTCACCATCTTACTCTCTCCCCTCTATCAGCTTCCATATGTTCGTTGAGATCCATTCCAGTTCTTGTCTTGCTTCTTCTTCCTTCCTAATGTGGTTGTGCAGGTTTCTTTCCACATAGTTTTCAAAGAGTTTCAGTGTTCTTCCACGCAGGTTTCTTCAGTGATGTTGCTCAACATCTCCCATTTTGTCTTGATCGCCGACGTGAAGACATCCTTTGTAGTTTCATCCTTCAGTTTCTGTTGTGGGTGTTGAACTTCAGCTGTGGCCTATCACCAGTCTCTGTGAAGGCTTTCAACTTGAATTTGGAGGTAGGTCCCTTGCACTAGATAGTGAGTGGTGTCAACCTACACCTGCTGCCCTTCTTGATGTTGTGTCAAGTGGGCTGTGTCTGCACTTTCTTGGCATTGAGATGAACTCGATCTGATTTATAGTGTGTCCTGGTGTCTAGTGAAATCCATGTCGTCTTGTGGATATCCTTTTGCTTGAACACAGTGTTTTCAATCACCAAATCGTTGAATGCTCAGAATTCTGCAAACAGTTCTCCATTCTCATTCGGCATTTCACAAAGTGCTTCTCGACCCATGATGAGTTCTGTTCCTGTGTTGTCCACTTCCAGTTTGGCATCCATGTCACCTATTACAACTTTGATGTCGCCAACTGAGGTCTTGTCCAATACTGAAGGCAGTTATCCGTAGAATTTCTCCTTCTTCTCTTCATCTACATTATTTGTAGGTGCATGGCGTAGCATTGTATGATTGTGATTTTGCTTCCTTTCAAGTTGAATCTTGCTGTCATGATCCTGATCCTGCAGGGGGAGATTGGTTCTCACTGCATGACAGAGAGCCTTCGATGCTCTTCAAGGGGAAATCTTGATAGCCACTCCAAAACTCATTGTGCTCATGGTTGTTGTCTCGGTGACAATATCCGAGTAGATTATTGACTATCCAGTTGAGAGTTTGGAGAGTCCACTTCCATTGTATCTGCAGATTCCTAGCACTTCAATGCGATACCTTCTCATCTCTTTCGCAATCTGGGAAGCCTTGCCAGCCAGCTTCAAACATTGTGCGGACATTCCATGTCCTTTCGGTATGCTTACTTTCGCTTTCATCAAGAGAAGAGAAGAGAAGACACATCGGCCAATTGGCTTCCTGAAGGCTTTCACGAACCGGTATCATTTCGTTTCCACGATCCTTTGAAGTGTTTTTAGCGATTGGATTAGTTTTAGGGGTTAGGGTTGCTAGCCCTTTACCCAACCTTCGGTGTTTACCCGGGCTTGGAACCGGCTAGTAACTAGTGAACGAGTTAACTACGGAAGTTTTTTAAATAGTAATAACCCTGAAGTCAAATTTTTGTGGAAGTAGGACAAGAAAAGGAGCAAATTTATCGATCAGACGTCAGGTTTTATAGTAAACATTCTAGAAGAGTTTCATTACATTGGTCAGTTACTGAACAGTTTTGAACTTCATGTTGTCCTATGTATTGATGAAATTCTACCGGTCATTTATTGATGTTGTCATGATGCCTAGAGACCTCGCATTACATTACACTCTGATTGATAGTACTTGGTCGGAGGCAATCGCCATTTTACAAACAAAGTTGACAAGAAAACCCAAATCAGAATTAGTGTTTGAAAGATACAAAGTGCATGATGAGAAATCTCACAATGGTTTCCTATGGAAATCACAGTGTTCAATTACACAAACTGATCTGCTGGACGCTACAGTTGAGGTCAAGATTCCAAACATGTAAACTGTGCAAAATATACTACTTACTGTCTAGGACGATTAGGTGTCCGGATTTCGGTTGGTTTGAATAATTCTGTTCTGTTTGTTGAATCATTCCGAGATACTAGTGATGAATTTGACTGGAAATAAGAGAAATGCCTGTCTGGATAAAGAGCACCACTGATGAATGTGAGTGATGTGTAACAACTCACATCAGCCAGAATAAAACTGTAACTTGACTACCGAGGTGTCGATTCTAAACGAAAACTTACATTACCTTATAACAGTATGTCCCATCATCTGTCAACTTCACATAAAAAGTTGTTATGGACCGACAGATGCTAACCTAATTCATCTATCCTTTATCCTAATACTCCTTGACAGTATGACAGCTATCTCTTCGCTTTTGCAACCTAGTATCAGGCTAGCCAAAGACAGAACAGTATAGAAGCTTCTGGAATGACATTCATAACAAATCGACAAACCATTGAGAGAGACCTTTTACAAAAATGACATAACCCAATGAATAGCAATGCCTTCAATATCCAAACATGTGTAGCAGGGAAATATGCGAAGTTGTCTTGAAAATATCAGATTTTACATCCGTACAACAGAACTGCACACATAGTTTCATGTTTCACACCTTGTATTTCGCAATCAGGCAAAAATTATGATCCTAATGAAGATGATTCTGACTAGCATACGTTCTAATCACTTAAGATAAGCTGTTAGAAATCGTACATCAGATATGCAAACTTTTTGACGACATCCAACTATTCTTCTCAAAAAGTGATCACAGTTGAAGCCATTTCTTAGTCTTTAGCCTCGTCAAAGAGTGATACAGGTTTGAATCTCCAAGATCAAATATGTCTTCGAATAATTGTTTATCTGTATGCAAAACCTTGGTTTATCCAGGTATAACTTAATATTGGGAAATACCAGGCTCCAGGTAACCTAAGAAATGACTAACAGAGAATATTTAACAAATCTGGCTGCCAAGCTTGCACCCTGATGAACGTTAATTCGTTGCAAGCAGCCGGTATGAACTCCTGAGGAACATATATTTCATGCTTATTGGCATCCGTCAGCTAGGCGTATCTATCACATCAAAGGAACTGATATCCTGTCTGAGGTTCGAAACCACGTCACCCAGTGTCTTAGTCAGCAACGTTACCGCTATTGGGTCTGTGATTAACCTCCTGTAAGACTGAATTGCTTGCATTGTTTGGGTGCTCTCCATTGGCTATTCAGTATATCTAGTCCAGTCAGTAAGTGTGCTACAAGAGATCAGTCGTGACCTGGACAACTCAATCGTAAGGTGTCTGACTGCAACACTTGATGTTGCGAGTTTGAATGTGAGACGTGGAGTCAGTTTTGTCGAGGTCGCATATACGCCTTTTCGACGAGTTTCAATACGTGTGAGACCTAATTTAAGCAGAAATTCCAGCTTATTACCTCCAATCAACCGAAAAAGTTTAATTGTATGCGTACAGTCTGGAATTTATTCTTAGAAAGGATAGGATGTTTTTCGCTAGTAAATGATCTTAGACTACAATTACCTGATGAATTCTTGATCAGACAGTTGAGTTAGTGAACACTATGACCAACATTTCAGTTCAACTCATAGATGACAAGAGATAAACAGTGAAATAATGAAACAAATTTTAAACTTTTCAACTTACTCTATCTCCCAAAGATTTACTTAAACGACTATTCGGTGGTGCTTCATGATGATAGGCAATCCAAACTTGATTTTTATTATATTTAACATCAGGAAATTTTCTTCCTGTAATAATTATCATTTGAGCATAATTAAATCGCGATTTTATTGTATGAAGTACACAATTGGTTATCAAACAATCATTCAATCTTGTATTGACTGGCACCATCATATTCCCGTAAATAACAATTTCTTTCACCTTTATTCAATGTGTCAATTAAAACAACAGTTTCAATATACAATGGCGCCAATATCAGGGAGCAGACTGCTAAGAAGAAATAAATCAATTATTATTTAAATATTTAGTAAATGAAGTGAATTTAAGATATGACCAATGATTCACTACCATATCCCAGTTAGCAGAGCTCTTGACAAGGGATTCTCCTTTCGTGAAAAGCTAATAAAACCTGTGCTCGAACCCTAACTAAAGGCTTGTGGAGACCGTAATCAATTTGCATATGAAAGCAGAAGAAGCACTTTGCATAACACCACTCTCTCATATCACAATATTGCTTATAATCTTGATAAAAATGCCAAGTAAGTCAGGTGTGCTTTTTTAGACTACACTTCGACATTTGATTCCGTCCCAAAACCACTTTTGATGGACAAGCTAGGTGGGAAAAATACTTAGTCCTCAATAATCAGCTGGGTGTATTCCTATTTCTGTCGAAGGAAACAACATACTGCTCACAGAGGAAAACGCTCTACCTCACTGCATAATGAGGCTGTGTTTCCCAAGGAGCCATCATTTCCCTATGTCTTTTCTTTTTATTACTGAATGACTTACCATCTTTAACTAGTATTAATTTATCAAATATTCTGATGACCCGACAGTTTCCATACCAGCCTCCTGTCCAACAGATTGTTCCCAACTGAATTTCATATCTACTGTCAGATAACGGTCCTCTGTGAATGGTCTTATGCTTAATTATTCAAAATGTCAGACTATTAGCTTTAGTTTTAGATGTTAACATAATCTATGTAAACTGCTTAGTACTCATCATTCCCGTTCTGTTGATAGTTATACATTAGAGAAACTTTTACAAGTGTGATTTATTTCACCGTACGTCATCTTATTCGAATCTTTCCTCATCGTCCCATATCTTACTAATTTCAAATAGAATTTTCAACCTAACTTTTGATAGTAGGAAGCTGACAGTAACTGGTATAACTAAGCATCTCCTCTTACGTTTTAAAACTCCTGCATCTTGTCTATTCTCTTCTATTATTCCCCTTCATTCTTTTCTGCCTTACTGAAAAATGACGATGTATTGTGTACAACTTTGAAGATGGTCAGTGGAACTAGTGGTGTACTTCTACACTTTGTAGTTAAAACAGTCGTGGACAAACATGTTATTATTATTTTTATTATTATTATTTGTCCCTTGGGTTCCTAATGGAACATACGGCTTCAGAAGCACGTCTCCAACCCACCCTGTTCACTTAAATCTTTTGAACCTGGCTCCACGATAGCCCACAAGATCTCATTTCCTCCTCGCACGATCTCCTCCACGTCACCCTCGCCTAGGAAGCCCAACTCGTAGCTTCCCATCTGAGTCCACTCGACGGCCTGGCCTGATGCTTGATGTCCCAGTCGGACTTCTCAGTGTATGCCCAACGCAGTTCATCTCCACTTCCTTCAAATGCATATTTGTTCAGCGATGGATTCTTAATTAGTTCCTTGACAGGCCAGAGTTCCTTGTTGCTTATTCTGACTATTCTGGCCATCTGATCTTCAGTAACGAGCCAGCGTAAGCAGTTGTTGATGAATGTCTGTAGTCTGCCGGAAATCCCTTTCGTAACGCGCCAAGTATCTGAACCATACAGAAGCACTGACTTGACTGAGTTGGTGTTGAAAATCTGGATCTTGTTCCACATGCTGAGTGCAGTAGATCTCCACACTGGTTTCAGGTTAATGAAAACCTTTCTTGCTTTTCTGATTCTGACTTTGACAACTTCATCTGTGTCCGTGGCGCCTGTAGTTGAAACAGTGCTTCCTAGAAAGGTGAAGGAGGCTACTTCTTTCAGGTTTCTCCCGTTGATGGTGTTTGGAGTTTGTTGTTGCTGGACAAACATATCTAATAGAAGTTGTTTAATCACACAACCAGCATCACCTTCACTCAAACCTCTCTGTGTGTGTCACTCATCTGGAAAGACAAGGAGCAAGTAAATCACACTTTATATATGTACTACAAAATATCTGAAAAATCTACAATACTGTAAGTATTTAACTCGTCTGGTGTGCGATGAAGAGAGCATTGTAAGTGTAGAGACTAATCAACTTCCGTAATTGAAAGCAAACTAATTGATGATGAGTATATTACTACTATTTCGTCGCCGATGATGATGATGATGATTTATGTCTAATGTGTTGTCGCAGAAACTCGATGTAGAGATCTACAGGGGAAAAGTGACAGGTTGACAGAGTAGGTAGAGTAGCGAAAATGGGACTTCAAGTGAATGTGGAGAGGACACAGATGATGAAGATATCCAAACAACAACCATCAACAACAAGCACCAATCACCATTAATTTGTAGAAAGCTAAACGAAGTAGTAGTCTCTTTCACTCACACCTAACTAGGTAGAGCAGCATCATTTCAACTACACACAGCACAGACGAGGATGTGGAAACCGGTATTGGAGAGACATCAAGACAGGCTTTCACTCATCTGAAATCAGTGTGGAGATGTACTGCACTCCACTCAGCATGAAGAGTGAACAACATCCTGATTTTGAAGACGAATTCAGTCAAGTCAGTCAAGTGATTCTATGTGGTGGTTGAGAAACTTGGTGTTTGTCATGGAAAGCATTTCCAACAAACTACAGACATGCATCAGATGAACAGCTGCCTCCTACTCTGTCTGGATAGTGAAGATGAGATGGCGAGAATGAGGAGAATGAGTAGCGAGTAAGTCTTGTGTGTGAGTGAGTCGACGAAGCCGGAACGTATCACTGAACAAATATGCAGTGGTCGAAATTTGAGATGAATCGAATGTGGCATACAGTGGGAGGATTGATTGAGGATATCACGTGCCATGCCAGGTGAGGCCAGGCGAGGCAATGCGAGGTGAGGTGGGAAGTCATAGAGTGGAATCTAAATGTGAAACGATGAGTTGGTCGTCGCAGTTGAGGGTGACATGGAGTAGATGATGTTTGGAAGAAATGAAAGCAGCTTGTGTGGAGTTGTGGTGTGAGGTTTTAAAGACTGTAGAGAAGAGAGTGTAATGGAGGTGTGCTACAGAAACCCTTTGTTCCACTCTGAACCCAAGGGAAATATAATATCATGATGTGATACTACTATTTATGTATTATGAATCTAATTGTTGCTAATATGATTGTCTGCCTAGATTGACTGTATATTTTCGAGAAAGTTTTATGTAGGTTGAATACTCTTATCTTTTGTTAATGTAGTTTCTACTTAACTCATTTAGCTATATATATATATATATATATATATATATATATATATATATATATATATATATATATATATATATATATATATATATATATATATATATATATATATATATATACTGTGTATGTCTAACTTATGCTATATGACATGTTGAATGTTCTGTTGAGTATTCTCGAAAAAGCTTTCAGAATGAAGGCATTATTATTATTTCTTGGTTCCATCCTTGATGGAACCATGGGTGCGGGTCGCTATAGAGTTCCATACTAGGACGAAACTGATGTTTATTGCTGCTACATCTCCAATGTTTCTTCGACTGCTATTAGTCTATGATGAAAATCAACCAGATTTTTTATCATCTAGTGACAGCATTGGAGAAATTTTTCGTAAAATCATGCCGATTATGACTGCCGCCTTCTTTGTACAACTTATTTAGATGTAAGAAATGTTGGTCATTTTCAACTAAGACTCGAACTCGGAACCGATTACTTCAAACATCAGAGCTTTATCCATCTGACCACGGATTCATGAAAGCCACTTTTTATGCAACAGATAGAAGCAACAACACTAGAAATGAATGTGCCTATTTAATTTAGATGTGAAAGTTTACAGTACATAAGTTTCGTTTACTCTATGATATTCATCTTTGTTGAATAGTTTGTTCTTCGAATGGTTAATGTAAGTCGTTGTTTGGTTGTGAAATATTAAATGGAATGAATGTATAAAGCTGGTTAGTATTTGTGAAGTTAAATGACCATGATTTTGACTACGTAAGATAACCGCGATTTGGAAGACTTGTATTATTGATATAGGGTTATGACGGAAACTGAAATGACAATTTAAGACGTGTCAGGATTCGAACGAAGGAGCATTTCACTTCACCTTCAATCATCAGCTGGTGTGAATACAAGCTTACCAAAATCCGGCCATCTGAAACAGTCAAAACGATGTAGAATATGAAAAACCCCTTCTCTATTTCAAGTAGACTTGGGTTAGGATGAGATGTTTTGAGTAGGCAGCCAGCGTAAGTGCAGTCAGTAACACGTCCCGAACTCCTAGATATGAAGGCAAGCATTTCATCATCCATCTGCCCACTTTAAATACAGTAGTTTACACTTTCCAACCTAACTAATAATACACAGTGGCCATCATTCAATATCAGTGGTAACAACTTGTCCATACTGTCAACTTGATTGATCCTTGGAGTCACCGTTTCTCACCGGAACCCTTCAGAGGAAGTCAGTCGGACAACATGGAACTGTTCAGTTACCTTTCATTGTTAATTAATATTTTCTTGTAGTAAACTAGCTGATTGAGGAATAGTGAAGTTATAGGGCTATATGTCAAGCGTATTTCAAGGAAGTCGTAACATGAAAGATGAACCCTTACTCTTCGAGTTTTAGATAATTATTGACTTAGTCACTACTACCATCTTTCCGCTAAAAGTCATTCATCCGTGTGGTGTAAGTAGTAAAGAAATGAAGCAGTAACTAACTGAGGCAATAGAATCTGACTGTCGGTATTTTGTCAACAGATAGTGGGATAGACAACCAACTAGTAGGTATCTTACATCTTGGGTTATAAGGCTGATTGAAACTTCTTCCGTTTGTTATCATCAAGATGCATCAAATCCAATGACTCACTATTCATCAAACTATTTTTCGTCAAAAATTATTTACATTTAATACAAAAACTGGAAAATAAGATTATTGGAATTTGTTCTTCATAACTATTCAAATTATCAGTCAATTAAAAAAAACATATTCATTTCAAAGTTCAATAC